TGCCTGAAGTCTTTGAACCTAGTTTTATTCGACTGATCCTGTTCACTTTTGTAGCCATTAAATTTTTCCACTTCTTTTATTGTTTGTAAGATATGCCATGGATTATTTCCTGCCTTGTAGGCATACCGTTGTCGATGGTTAAGGCCTAAGAAGTTACCACCGAGTAGCATCACAGATGCATTTTGTTAGGTGTATATTAGCTGGCCAAAAAAGGCGGAAGTGCAATCAAAAACTGCAGAGGTAGCATTTCTTAGTGAACAAAATTTGATGGTGAAAAATAATTGAAGGTGCATAGGGTTCCTAGGAAACCGATTATCTCAAGATTCCGTTGTTTGTTTTGCCTGGGAAAACTTTCAAACAGGTGACTCGAGAGTACCTCTGCTGAAGTAATGATGAATATATGTTTACTGATTTTTTAGATGTGGCTACTAAAGAAAAGGAAAGCCTAAATTTGTTTTTAGTACTTCTATAAAATGAAAATGAATCATTAGGATGTTTGGTCTCAATGACACAAAATAGCATTATTTTTATGAAAATCAATTTTCAGTACTGTATTCAGGCTCTGAAGCTCCTTGACTTAGAAGAGAAACTTACAACTTGTCTGGTTTTTTTCATCCTTCATTTCTCAACTTTTGTTTGGCTTTTTCCTTGTCAATGTTTCAGTATTTGTGGTGTTTTTGAGGAACTGTGAGTCTATATGTAACATTTTTTTGTTTGGATTGCGGTTTGGTTTTTTCTATAGCTTTCGGAGTGTTTTTCCTATTCAACCGAAAAGATGCGTGTTACTTGCGTCCCAATGCTTTAGAAAACGTGGAGAAAGAAATGCTCTACTATCGGGTTGATTTTAAGTTATAGGCAAATAGTAGAACTTAAGAGAAAAACTCATTTATTGATTCCTGCCATTTGATAGGGCTGTCGCTCAGTTGTTTGAAGATTTACCCAGTTACTCAATTAAGTGGCAGACAAGTGTTCATTAAAAATAGCCTAACAGTTTAGCGTAGGAAAAGAAGCGGGATTAAAGCAGTGGTTTTTGTTTTATTGAAATTGATGTTTAAGCATGATATAAATTTCGAGTACTTATAATGAATGGAATAATAGCGTGCTCTGTTGAATACTGTTTTTTGCGCTAAGGTTTTATTCGTTTTTAGTAGCTTGACGATACTAATTTTAAATTTTTTCGAATGCTTTTTTGTTCAAATATTGAATGCTTTCAGTCTATGAGCCTAATCAGTTACGCAATTGAATGATGTAGAAAGGATTCCTTCTTTTAAGTTTCCGAAAACTGAAAAAGAACTTTCTAGAGTTTTTACAGGATGCTCAAACTTTCTTTGAGTGTGCGAACGCTCAGTACAACCTCACAGTTGTTGAAAGATGGAGATATGGTACAAGCAATATTCTTGAAAAAAATTCGTGAATTTGCGCAGAAAGTTGCCGCGGGTCAGTTAATGCGACCTGCTGAGGTTGGTTTTTTTATTTTTGTTTCTTATTTACTAAATCTTCTACCTCGTTTTGGTCGTTTTCTGTTTTATCTTCGCGTTTTTATGCTTTCTGTTTTGGATTTCGAAGTTAGCAGTTGTTTTCATATGACTGCATAATGAATTCAGTAGAACAAGTGTGTATATGCTCAGGGTTTCATAACAGTTTTTTCATTTCAGGTGCATGAAGTGCTCAGTGATGAGTTGAACAGGGTAGCCAATAAATTTCACATGGAAAACACTGATGCTGTTAAAACATTGCCAGCAGAATATGAACGCGTTACAGTATCTAGTGCTGTTCAGAAGGTTCTTGATGGAAAGAATTTAGATGAATTAATTTCTGCAGTGAAGAGCGAAACTGCTGCATATATCGCACAGAGGAAAGCAGCTGCAGAGGAAGAAACTCGCCGAGCGAAGCTTCGCGCGGGTGAAACTGTGGAAAATTATCCTAGTTCTACGAAAAATAATTAAATTTCGAGCTCTGGTATGAAAGAATTGCTTTTCATTTTCTGTCAGAATTTAATAATTCATTAAAAGACGCCTTCAGGGTAAGGAGGGTGGTTTTGTTTTTCTTCTGTTGTAAACAGAAAGTAATTTTTTTCTTTCAGAGCTCGAAAATATAGGTTTTGTATGTTATTTAGTATATCTTTTTATAAGATGAGATCGTTCGAAGTTAGGTAAATAGTCTTCCTATTAAGAAAACTGTGTTTTTTATTTTCGAAAAAATGTGATTTATGAAAGAATAAATACTATTAGTTATTCTGGTGTTACATTTTCTCTTCATTTATACCATTTGAGTGGTAACTCATTCCAACTCTTGTTCATCTAAAGCAAAAGTGTCTTGGAGTTGAGAGCGATTCGTATTCTGGTAATGTCATTTCTAGTCGTGAATTCGTGTTTTCATTTCCTTCTTTCTGATTGGAGAAGTGGGAAAGGGTTCTTTGAAGAACTCAGGAGGGTGTGCTGTAAAGTAAAAAGGAATACACACAGAAGCTAAAAATATGGGTGTTATATTGATACTACTTTATGGTTGTCAATAGTTGATCTAAGTAGTTTGATGTTGTTTGCGTCAAGAAGAGTGTTATTTGCAGTGAAGTAATGAATAGGACAAGAAAAAGTTTTGGGACGGACGATTTTGGTGTAAGTGAAAGTAGCAGAAAAGTTATTGATAAACTAAGGAAGAAGCGATTCGCAAAAAGGAAACGTCGCTCTCAGGTTGAAAGCGTTGAGGCAGTTGCGGCTCGTTATTCTCTTTTGGACACGGTATCTTTTCAAGATGTTGTAGTAGAAATCTGGATATTTTTGAGTTAAGGAAGTTACCGATGTATCTGTAAATCTTAACAGTTATAAGCGAATTTGTTGATGCCAGACTGTAACGAAAACAGTCAGAATTATAATTTATCTACAGGACGATACAAAACGTTTTACGAGTTTTTCTTCGTTCCCACTGTCTAAGCAGACTCAGGAAGGCCTTGAGAAAAATCACTTTTTGAAACCTACGGAGATTCAGCGTGATTCTCTCCCTTTCTCTCTGAGAGGTGTTGATGTAGTAGGAGCTGCGAAGACTGGAAGTGGCAAAACACTTGCTTTCCTAATTCCAGTAAACTTTTATTGGAGAACTTTTTTGTAGGGTTTTGCTGTCGTTACGATAATAATATTTGCTTTTAAATATCCAAGTTTTTTAATTCACATTTGAACCTGTTATAGTTATTAGAGTGTCTCTGGCGTCAACACTGGTCAAGAACCACAGACGGTCTAGGTGCTCTTGTGATTACACCTACTCGCGAACTAGCTTATCAGATCTTTCAAGTATTAAATAGGATTGGCGGCAGTCATCATTTTTCTGTTGCTCTTTTAATTGGAGGTACTGAGTTTTAAAATTTTGTCACTGGTGAACTAGTTTCTATTGAGAAATTTCAAGCAATGTCGTTTCTGAGCAAATTGTATTAATAGGAGGTGATATCGAATTTGAAAAGAACCGTGTACAGAAGGTAAACATTGTCATATCTACTCCTGGTAGATTGTTGCAGCATATGGATGAAAACAGCATGTTTACTTGTGACCAACTGCAAATGCTTGTTATAGACGAGGCTGATCGGATACTGGACTTAGGTTTTGCTTCTCAGGTAATAGTGGGATAAAAATGTTATGTTGTACAATTCTTTTGGACATCCAACTTTATTTATAATTATTTTTTTTCCTGAACATCTCAGTTTTGATCCTGTAGTTATTGTTAATTGCCTTTTCTATTTTTTTTTTGTGTAGTGAAATTTTCTACAGATGGATGCTATTTTGAGCAATTTACCAAACGAAAGACAGACTCTTTTATTTTCTGCTACTCAAACAACAAACGTGGAAGAGTTAACGAGGTTGGCATTAAGGGATCCAATCTACGTTTCAGTTCACGAAAATGCTTCTGAAGCAACCCCTGAGCAGTTGCAACAGGTTTTTTTTTATAAATACTGCAGAATGATTTGTTATTTTGCATTATCATATGTTTATTTTTATCATTAAAAGCAGCATAAATGAATCGCAAGAGATGTTGGCCTCTGAAAAAATGAGTTTTTTTTCTCAGTGTAATTTTTCTTTGTTAACAATTTTTTCATTGGTTTTTTTTGGGTTTCAGAGCTATCTTATATGCCGGGACGAAGACAAAATAAACTTTTTATGGTCCTTCTTTATGAACCATCAGAAAAAAAAATCTCTGGTTTTTGTGTCTACCTGTAGACAGGTCTTCATTTTTTTTACTCAGCGTTATTTTAAACTTGTAAAGTACTTCTGTAAAGACTTTTGTGTAAGTTAGAAGTTTGTTTGACAATGAAAATTCCGTATCTGCTCCTTTGTTAATTATCATTAAAAACTGCTTGTTTTTAACGATTTTAAATTGTAGGCTCGTTTTCTAACTAAAGCTTTCCACCATTTACGCCCCGGTTTGCCTGTTTTTGGTTTGTGGGGTACTATGAATCAAAGCAGAAGACTACAAGTCTTTGAAACGTTTAACGAAAGAAAGTCTGCAGCAGCAATGGTTGCTACCGATGTTGCTAGCCGTGGGCTTGATTTTGCACGAGTCGACTGGGTAATCCAATTAGATTGCCCTGCTACTGTTGAGGATTACATCCACAGGTCAGTTTATTCTGTCCACATGTTCTCAAATCGGGATCGGTTTTTGCTGTTTTTGAACTGGAAAAATTGTTTTTTTTTCAAAGGTCGCTTTTATTTTCAATTAACAAAGCATCTAACTCGAAAATTTCAGAGTAGGAAGAACTGCAAGAATGGATGAGAAAGGAGAAGCGGTATTAGTTTTAACTCCGAGTCAGGAAAAGTCTATGTGCATTCGCCTTGCTGCTCGCAAAGTTCCCATCAGTAAGATTAGGTTAGGAGTTTTACTTAGTAAGAAAATTAATTTGTTGCGGCTCATGGTTGGCGGGCTTGATTTTTAGTTGATTCATTTAACAGGAAGAACTGTAGTGACAGTTCTTCTTCTCTTCTTCTAAGGAGCAAATATTTTCAGTGTTGATCCGAAGAAGCTGGCTGATATTTCGAATAAATTACAAAGCATTCTTATAAAGATTGAAGGCCTAAAACAGTTTGCACAACAGGTTTTCAAATACAGTAGTTTTTTTCTTCAATATTTTTGGATTTCACTGGAGATTCCTCTTTGATTATTTTG